TTCAGCATCCATCCCCCTCGTAAGTTTATCAGCAGGGTTTGTCTTCCCACTGCAAAAGTACCAGTTGTTTAAAATTGTTTTCTCCTTGATTTCTACCACACGATTTCTAACAAATTGTTTCCACTCGTTGGCAGATCCCTTGATCCAGTGAATGCAAATTTGGGAATCTGTCCAGTAAAATATATTTCCCTTATACAACTGCGGAAATATCGATTGCAAATACGAACCTAATCTTGCAGAAATTAATGTTCCCAAAAGTTCAAGCCTAGGGAGTGTTACCCCTTTTAATGGAGCCAAACGGGATTTAGACATTATGAAACTTGTTTTACATTTATTTTTCTTCTTAAATCTAAAATATGCTACGGCACCATAACACTTGGGACTGGCATCAGAAAATATGTGAACTTCTATTAACTTCCAACACATATCACTGAAGTACTGTCTGGGAATTTCGAAAAACTTCAATTTTTTTCAACATCTTTTAACCATTCCTGAAATATGAATTCTGTATCAACGGGAAACACTTTCGTCCCATTGAATACCCTTTTCCCACATAGTTTGCATTAAGAGTTAATTCAAACAGTAAAGGGATTCGAACATTCCCAATGGAATAATAATTCCATAAATTCCTAAGGGATCATAATCCTGTAGATCAAACAGCATACCACATGCTGCTAAAATGATGCGTTTAGTTACTTTGAGATTTTGTAACTTCTCAAACTGAGATACATCTATTTTCAAATTATCATTGACATTGTCCCAGATAAGACCTAAAACTTTCAACGGTACCAAAGAGTCTTCAGATGTTTCACGAGAGTCAATTCCATTAAGTTTCCATAGTTCATTCAGCTCAGGTGAGTTTGAAACCCATCTACGTAAATTCATACTGGCCTCGCTAAGAATGAAAATCATGTCCTTGCTTAAATGTAAGGCCTTTGCTACATTAACTGTCCCAGAAATTAAATCATCTACGTAAAGCTCTTTTAACATACTGCATGCCTCTTCGTAGGCATCTTCATACTTTTTTAAATGCAGTCTTACTGTAGCTGTTAATAAATAAGGTGAGCACTTGACCCCGAAAGGAACTCGATTGTGTTGGAGAACTTGTAAGTTGGGATTACTGTGATCGAGATTTGACCCTTCTTCATTTATCCACAAAAACTTTAAAAAATCCCTATCTTCTTTAGCTAAGCCTACCTCTAAAAATGCACGCTGAATGTCGGCACAAAACGCAATTGAATGTACCCTGAATTTAATGATAATCTTTAGCAAATCGGGATTTAAATTAGGTCCGCTTTCCAAACAATCATTAAGTGATAAATTTCCCTTACTTTTAGAAGAAGCGTCAAAACTATTCGAACCTTTGTAGAATCCTTCTGCTCCTTCTGCTCGCGCACTACCGCGTGATGAGGCATGTAATACCCCGTTTTCAAACTACCTATTTAAATACGTATCTACCCTGTTCCACTATACCATCTCTCAAGTGTTCATTAATTATCTCATTATATTTTAAATATAGCTCGTCTATTTTTCTGAAACTTATTATTTAAAAATATTGTAAACGCTGTTTCGCGATTTCATAATTATTATTTAAACCTTCAACACCCTCTTTCCACAGTAATCGAGTCTCATACCTTTTATTCTCATAAGTTGTATTTCGTTCAAATGACTCTAAAATTTCTTTATCTGATAGAGATATTTCTTTATCCGAACTTATCCCAATTGCTTCTAATTCCCATAATTTTTTAACTCTTTTCATAATCTAAGTCCTCATTTACAACGGTTATATGATTAACTCTTGCGTCCTTACACTTTGATCCTTCGTCCTTGCCTTGAATCACAAAACCGAAAGTGCTTTCTGTTGCGACTAATTTTTTACAAATCTTCACGTTTCGTTTCTCCTAAAATTTCCCAAATATAATCCGAACCTATTAATACTTGAATTTCGTTCACTCGTACCAGTATCTGCTAATTCTATTCTATTCCCTTCTCAAACGCCATCTTTCGTATCCACCGAGAAGGAACTTTTACTTGCCCTAGTGTTATAGAATCAATGACTATTGCGTTAATTTTTATCTTTTTACTGGGATGGCTTACATTTGCAATACGATTTCTCTTTTCTACGATATCATACAAGCGCTCTTTTGCATCTTTGCATCCAAATGTGAAAATAATAAGCGCTTCTTTATTAATAATTTTCAACCCCAGTGAATCAACCACTTCTCGTAAGATGAATGACTTTGTTGACCCTGAATCTAGCATACAACGTAATACCTTTTCGTTCCCCCCTTTACACCTAACTGTTGCCGAAAACGTCTGTAAAAGAACGGAAGTCGGTAGTTTAATTTTGTTATTATTTTCATTACATAAGAGCGAAAGAGAAGGTTCAGGGATTGGCGTTTGTTTTGTCTGATTGGAAGTATCCGTCTCTAAATCTTTCGATGCGGCATCACATATTAACGAATTATGTAAACCTTGGACATTGCACAGTCTGCATTTTTCATCTTTATGAGCACAGAAACGCCTTGGATGCCCTTTCGAAAAGCAAATAAAACATAAACCTCGATCCATTAATGCCTTTCGGCGAGCCTTAAATTCAAGTGCGCAATCATGATTCATATGACAAGCAGATAAACAAAATATGCAGACATTTTGATTCTCTTTCTTAGTCGGGGTAGAGAACTTTCGATTTGGATTAAAATGTGATTTTTGAAAGTATTTAGAGGGAGTTTCGCTTTGACTAGTTAATACAGAAGCACCTTGCTTATTCGTACTGTAATCATTTCTTTTAGAATGCATGTAAGATTTATTTTGATAACCTTAATGGGAACTTTTGTTTCGTATTGATGTTTCATTTACATCAAAATTCTTAGAACACGCTAACATCATTGATGTTTCCTTACATTCCACTTCAGTTTTCAAGAACGTTAGTAGTTCATTAACATCGAAATTTTGTTTATCACTTCTTTTCCTAGTGAATTCTAGAGTTAAATTCTCGGGTATTAACTTTAACAAAATAGGGGATAATAAATGTCCATAAGAACCACTAGTAACATTTAAAGAATTTAAATTCCTTATTTGTATTTCTATATCGTCATAAAGTTTCCTCAAAGAAGCCGTATTTCCCGAATATTTTACAGGTTCTAAACTCAACAATTTATTCATGTGCACATTAATTAGCAGGTCATCTCTGCCGAAACGGTTTTTTAGTATATCAACAGCCACCGTATAGTTTTCACTAGTAAATGTTAATCCACTAATAGCATTTAAAGCTAAACCTCCCAAAAGCGATTTTAAATAACAAAACTTGTCAACCGAACTGAGACTTTCGTTTTGGTGAATGGAATTACTAAACTGATTCCAGAATTCAAGCCAAGAACAAGGATCACGTAATATTTTGTAATCGTTAATTTTGGAAATTTTAAAGTATTAACTTCACAAGTTTTCAACTTCGGAGATATAGTTTCCTCACTAGAATTTCTAGATTCAACTTTACACGCGTTTTTTCTTAATTTTTCCTGAATTTTACATTTAAAACTGATATTCCTGCGCGGAAATTACTTCTGTTTCTAACTCCTGTTCCGTAATTATAAGTTTTTCAATCTCAGAATTGTATTGTTTCAACAACTGCGATTTTTCAAGTAACATTTCGAGTAATTCTTTTAATTTCTCATCCGCGGTTTCACCCTCTTCTAACAATGCAGAATCTATTTTACTCATCAACTTGGTAGTTAAGTTACGCGTCACCGTACACAACTTCTTTGCCTTATTCATAGCCTCCATTTTACATTAGAGTCTATCAACTATAATAATCACCAAGATTTTTATACAACAATTCTATTAAAAACTGGAAAAATGAAAAAGGGCCTACCTCGAATTTCTTCGCGTTAAATCCTGGCTTTTCAGTCATGAACTCACTAATTTTCTTCGTCCATTCTTCATCTCCGCAAATCAAGTCCGGTGTCACCAAAAAAAAAATTGTACGTATCCAAATGATCAGAAGGTTGTTGATGCTTGTTCCTTGATCTATTGCACCAAGATATTTTACTGTACATTTATTTACAATTTATTTACAAGTCGTATGCCACCTGGCATGTTTACAAGCGTTATACCTCCTGGCATGTACACGATAGACATATTCTGCCACCTGGCAAGTGAATTGATACATCATACTAGTTTTCTGCCACCTGACAGATACGATGCAATTACCTCAATTAGCGGTAATACGCCCGACATTTTGGCGTGTCCGCTTCCCTTACGTTCTGTAACGCAACTAACTTTTTGTGCGGTGCGCCCTCTGGGCACAAATCACCGCAATCACCGAGGAGGCCAAAACAACATTAAATCACTGAATTTGAAGGTTTTCAGATATTGCAGTTTTCCAGTTAATTGAAAATCTGAAACAACGTTTTCCACTTTATGGAATTTGTGAAGAAATGCAGAGAAGTGGTAATAAATGATAATATAACTGAGGGTTTTCACTGCTGTGACCATGTCCAAATCATCATTCAACTAACATATGGCAAAATTTGTTGTATGATTCTAAATCCAGAAAATATTACTGCCAACTGTAAAAAAAATAACAAAGAAGTTATTTAAAATGAATAAATTTTGATTGACAATTTAGTGGGAGTTCTTAATATGGCAATCACAAGACTTGAATAATGGAATTTTATAACTGAGCAGGAAATTATATCTATCTGTAGAATTAAGGAGAAAGTACTAGCACACAAAATAAAGCAACATTAAGAAATGTTTAATAAAGCAAACAAATAAATATTAAGTTTTTTAAAAATTTTTATTCCCTTAATTTCATAAATGCTTCATTATTTCATAAACTACTCTTTCATATTTTTTATTTCATGATATCTATATGTCATCTTACTAGATTTACTGATGATCTAATATCTGGAAAAATCCCAAATCTGGAATCACTGAAGTCCCGACAAGTTTGGATCTCGGATTTTGTACTATAATAATTTTTTTTTTTTTCTTTGCAGTTAAAACGAGCAGCAATGCTACCTAGTGCAGATCAAGCTTCCATGGTAGGTTTTAATAAAATGATGAAAGTGGTATTTTAATTATGTATAGAATTTATTTTATTTTGCAGTTTTTGCTTACTGAAAATAATTACATCCATTTAAAAAAGCATTTTTTACTTCATTTGCATAGCCTTAACTGCACAAATTTCATTAAAATGACTAAATAGTACCAAAAAATAATTTAAAATATATCATAGAATAAATTATTATCTGATGTAAAATTCTGCAAAGATTTTAATTTGCATCTGATACTTTTAATGATTGTATTAGAAGTTAGATCTATTTCATAATCCATTGGCTTGACTATTATGAACTCTGAAATCATTTTCAATCTTATATAGATTGGAGCAATTGTTAATTTTCGACAAGCAAAAGTCAAGTTTGATACTAGCTGGTATGTATTTTATCTATTTTGTGTTAGGAGTTAAAATTATCTCTTTTTCATAATTGTCATAATTGACATTCATCTGCAACTGTTTAGTGTTTCACTTTTGGTTTTACATTATGCCTTTAAATATTGTACTTGATGCATTAAATATGCATTTTAGGACATGCTGTACAAGATTGGATAGAACTACTGCTGTTAATGTACAAAAATGTATTTATCAAATTATTTCTATGCCTTCCCTCCCCCCTCGCGTGGCATAAAAAGATCCAGAAAAGTAACGAACCGTTCATCTCTGAAAATTGGTGATAAAGGGTGTCCATTGCGACAGAGATCAGATTTAATATCATCCTTTATCACTAATTTAAAAGCATCAAATTTAATATCCCCCAATAAAATACTTTGTTTTTAGAAAATGGGAAATAGTTTTACATATTAGCAACAGGTAAATGTTCTGATTTAAGAATGAAAAATAATATCTGACATATGTCATCCACAATTTGCTCTGCAGTACCACACTCTTTTGATGAAATTCGTAATCACTTTTTCACATATCTACCTACGGAGGTGGCTAATGCACATTTAATCTCCTCTTTTCCATTGTTAATTTCTCTAGGATTCTAAGTTGAAATTTACTATTGATATACTATTGATGTACTGTGGGAAAAAAAAAAAAAAAAAAGGCCAGTTCAAGTCGTCTCCCATTTTGTGGATTTGGTGATATCAAATTGTTGGGTGATGCATTTATGCTATCACAGGCAAAAAAAATCTTATGGGTGCTAAATCCCTCATGAACTACACAATGCAGATGCATGCTAGTTGCATCTGCATTGTGCAGATATGAAGAAAATTTAACAACAGAGGAAAGCCAAGACTTCAAGAGACTCTTCAAGTTCAGATGAGGAAGAATTCCTCAGAATGCAGTGGAAAGTATTTTCACAACTGGTAAAAGACATGCGTCTTGATGGTGTAAATCACTTACCAAGAATCATGGATGGCAAAAATGCATCCAAACGTAGAATGCCCAGGTGCACATTAAGAACAAGAGTATTCTGTACCAAATGTAAAATGCATTTAAGTGTATTAAAAAATAATTGTTTTGAAAAGTTTCGTACAAAATAATGTGTCTGTAAAGATAAAATATTAGTTAAATTTACATAAAATTAATAAAAAATTTTTATAAATTAGGGATGTTGTGAATTTATATTGTGTATCATGTTTGATATTTTAAACTGATGACTGCTCTAAATATTAAAATTTATAAATGGTAAAATGAGATTATTTACTCTTTTGAAACCCGAGACACACATATGTGTACTAAATTTTTTGGTCCCTAAATATACATGTACACACACAAAAAACAAAACAACAACAAAAAAAAAAAAAAAAAAAAAAAAAAAAAAACTCTTTTCCCCCCTCATTTATAGACAAAAAACCATATAAACTTTGCTAATATTTTTTAAATTAACTATTTTAATTTCGGGTGTGAAGAGAATATATATTGTTACAAAATTTTCTTCATGTTATAAGGGTTCTTGGATTTGGAGTGAATAATGACAACAGCACTTGATGAAGTATCCAAACGCTATTTATTAGCCATTATTACTCAGAACAGCTCCAAAATCATGTTTACAATCATCGAAGAACTACTATAAACACGCTGAAACAACCAGCGACACCTTTCAGGCTATAACGGTGAAGACAGCTTTATGGCTAAGCACCAGAGTACAACTCCCGTCGTTCTCGGAACTTTACGTACTCTCGAAACTCTCCGCACTACAACTTGTGATGCATTCGATGATACACTAGAGTACAGCTCCCGACTCAGTTCGGTCATTCTCGGAACTGTACGTACTCTCGAGACTCCATGCTACAACTCCCGATGCACTCGATGATGCACTAGAGTACAGCTCCCAACTCTGCTCAGTCGTTCTCAGAGTTTAATACACTAAAGATAAAACTCGACGATGCACTAACTCGCAATACCCTAAAGCTGCGTGTAGATGTGGGCGTAAAGCGCATAGTCATAAGGGCATAAAATACAGGACATCCGTTGACACCCGCGAGATGGGGGTCTAAGCTGTGGCCAATGAGAGAAGCTAAATTGGCGCATGCGTGGATGTGTCTACACCTTTCGCGTGCTGTTTTCTAGCTCAATTGATTTCTCGCACTCGCTCTGCTTGTTTTCGTTAATTTGTGTCATGGCTTTTTCAGCTCAACACAAAGTTTTACTGGTTCAACAGAATGCTCTTTTGTCTGCCCTTCTTATAAGCCAAGAGGCAACGGAAGAAGGTAAAAAAAGAAAAATAACAAAATGGTATAGAGATATTTTTTTGAAGACCAATACTGGTTGGCACATCTTTCTGTGCAAGCAGTATGGAATATTTCTGCATTGTACTGTAGTACTCTCTATACTATAAACATGCACGTGCATATTTATATATAAAACCTCTTCAATTTTATATATAATTTCTCTTAGGAGAAATACAATATTCTAAATATGTCTAATTAAAAAAAATCTTGAGGATAACTAAGAGATAGCTTGTATATAATATTTTTCCATTTTGTAGGTGTGAAAGCAGTTAAGCTAAAAACAGTACTTACCATACATTATATTATATTATTATTATTATTATTATTATTATTAATTTTTCAAATCAAAAGGAACATGTTTCTGTGACAGTGAAACATGTGCTTAGCACTCCTTATTCACTGCCCGTGTCGATCACTATAGTAGTTTGCTGCACTACCAGTATCAATTATCACTAGTACTAGTATCCCACAACTGGTCGCAATGACCAGCAACCACAAGTAGTACAATACTAGGAAACGTTCACCCAACAATGTATTTTATGCTCAATCATTAAATACATTTTGCTGTGTTGCCAGTTGTTTGTATACATCTATTTTTAATGATTTGCATGTATAAACCGAACCCCTGAATTTAATTTCAACATATGCTGGGATTTCTATTTCGACCAAATCTCAAACAGTAATTTCGCATTGACAATTTAGGTACCCCAGTCTGCAATACATCAAAATTAAAAACATTCATACCTTATCCGGAATTTCTACCTGAGAAATAGCATGAATTTAATGATCAAAATTCATTCAACTGATAGTATAAGAGTGGATAATAATAACAATACTATTCATTAAATTATAGTCCTGTTATGAATTATGTGTGCTATTTAGTTTCATTAAAAGTAATTCCTTTCATGAGAACGTAATTAAAAAACAGAACAGAACTTCAACAGGAGAAAAACTGTCTAGACTGTTAACTGTTGTTTTAATGATATTTCACTACATTTTTTTCTTTCTTGGAATTCATAGAGCATTTTCTCAAAGATTAATCTTTTTATTACTTATGCAAAGCTACACCATGAATTGACTATTGTGATAGTCTTAAATAGTAAAATAATTTTTTTTTTTTTTAAAGTAATTTTTTACTGTTAAAAAAAAAAGCAGATTCTTGATTTTGATTTGATGTTTTAGTAAAATTAATTCATGAACTTTGTTTGGAAAGAAAATCAACATTTGAAGCAAATAGCAATACCAGCTATTTTTTGCTTGGATTACAGTTATAATTTTTTTTAAAGAAATTGCTGTTTGTTAATTTATTTATTATTAGACAGGACATTAAAACTACAAGTTTTTCATTTAGAATTTTTACATTCTATTATTTCAGTTTTAGTAGGAAGCTAACCTGCAATACAGCCAGTTTTTAAAAGGAAAATTTAAAACCAGTTTCCTGGACAAGAAAAAAAACCTTGTAGGAAAAGTCCTTATATAATATATTTAATTACTGACATCTGAGGTTAATTTAATTTAATTTGAGGACTTATTTAATGCTCATCTTTCTTAAAAAAAAAAAAAATAGAATTTTACTAAATAGGATTTAGCACTATGATATTGTATTTGTAGGTTAGAAGATTTGCATGAAACCATACTTCTTGAAACAATGGGAAATAAAATTACTCCTTTGGTTGTTAATCCTGGAAGAATTCTTTTAACCACAAGTCGCTTGTATTTTCAACCTTACAATAATGCTGAACCGGTGAGTTAACTAAATGTTTTTAATTGCTTACAGTCTTGAAAGAATTATGTGTAGCAGTAGCAACAATACAATAATTATGCATTATATCATGAAATGTGCATGAAAATTCCAATGTAATTATGAATATTTTAAAAATATATGTAATATTTTTTAAATCATTGTTAGTTTTAGGATTAAAAAATTTTACATTTTAATCAGAATTTCAATATTTATACCAGTTTCCTATCTGTGTTTATTGGTTGACAATTTAATAATGTTTTCAAGGGTTACTTTATTCCTTGTACTGATATTCAATTAATTCCGTAAGAAAATGATATACTATATCACTCTATGAACTGTTTATTTTAATAAGATTGAAAAATGGAGTATTGTACCCTCCCCTTAGAATGTCTCGACTTTTGCAGTTCTTCCATTATTACTCATTAGTTAAAAAAATTATTAACAGAACAATTATCTTACGTATTTATTTTATCTTAATCATAATCCGTTAATTTTCTATTTAGTTTTCCATATTTTATGACTTTAAGTATTAATATTAATAAAAATCTATAAACTCTTTTCAGTGAAAATGTAATTTTAACAGTTATTAAACTTAAATTTTTGGTATTCATAAATTTTAGATAAAAATCCTTTGTGTACTGAATTAAAATGACATAATCATTTTCTTCTTCAGAAAAAAAAAAAAAAAAAAAAACTAATAACATAATTTGTTTCTTAAAAAGGAAGAATCAGATTTGCTTCTTTCATTGACTCTCTTCATTCAAAATATATGTGGTAAACAAAGCTGAATCTTAACAATTATAATTTACATGTTTTCTTCATAAATAATGCTATTACTGATTTTGAAAAATTATTTTAGTCTGGATTAAAAATGTCAGTTTCTTAGCTGTATTAGAATTATTACCTTTTTTTGTAAATTAGGTATCTTATAAAATACATGTACAGTGTAATTATAAATTAAAATATATACTTTTTAGATAATAACAAAGTTTTTTCAGGTTTACTTAAAATGGTTGTCTAAATTTTGATCATTATTTTGAATACTTTTCATAATATAACTTATTTCATAATATAACATTATTTGATTTTTTGTATATTGTTTAAAATTTTAATTATTTTTCAAAGTTATTTAAATCTTATTTTTTAAAAAAGTATGAGTCGTGTGTATGGTATTAGAATTCTTCAATTTTTTTCAGCTAAAATTGAAATCTATAGTTTTAATATTCTCAATAAACAAAGTAAATAAAGCAATCAGTTTTGAAATTTTAAATCATTAGTGAAATTCATAATAAGATTGAAAAATGGAGTATTGTACCCTCCCCTTAGAATGAAGGGGATGAATTACTAGTAGTTTTATATATATAGACTGCTCTAATGCTGATAAACTGTTCATTTTAATTTCAGTGGCTAGTTCTGAAAATCAAACTTTCTGATGTTAAGAGGATAATTAAAAGAAGGTTTTTATTAAAACATGTGGTAAATACTAGCTAATTTCCAATCATTTTTAAAATATAGAATTTTTTGTGTTTTTTATGTTATAAGTTTTAACAAAATATTTTCAGCAGTTTGCAGTTTTATGAGTGCTTAATATGCATAAAATTTGAAGAAACTTAATAACTATGATAACATTTTTCTGATTTAAATATATTTGTACTCTTTTTCCGTTTTCTCTCAATAAAACAAAGTATCATCCTTCTTCCACAAGTTGTGCAAGAGTAGAAATAAGGAAAAATGTACTACTAATAGAAACCTGATTGGCTCCTCATAATGTGAATTTATGAGGTAACAGAAAAATGCAGGAAAGACTTATATGTGTTCAAGCAAATTACAGAGAATATGAAGAATTTCTGCATATCCAAATAACAAATCTAATGTTATTGCTTTGTGAAATCTAGTTTTTTGTGTTATTGTGCAATATATTTGGGAGATTTCTTGCTAAAGTTTCTTTTCAGAAAATTATTTTGGTATAAATTTTAATAAAGCTTGCCTGTGTTTGATTTTCAATTCTTACATTAAAAATTGATAAAAAATTATATATTATAGGTAACTGTATTAATCATAGCTAAATCACTAAGCTTGTGAAGTGATTAAGCACTTTGCTCTCGAAGTGAATTTCTCACTTTATAAGTAAAGAAAATACAGTACTTATGTTTAACAGGACAACAGATGGCACTAAACATAAATACTAGTGCAACATCTAACTGGAGATAGAAACAGCAACCCTACAGCTTCATGAAAAGAATGGCTATTTTATTAAAACCAAAATAATACAATGAGGAGAAAAGAATACAGAAATTCACAAATAAGAATGCATGTAACTGTTTCAATTGACAGTTATGTACTGATTCACTCATCCTTGTTGAGAGAACTCTAGCAATTTCAGTTCTTAACACCATACGTTAGTAAACAGAATAGCTGACAGAAGAAAGAATGCATGATTTTTTTTTTGAGCCAGCTATTTGCTGTGTAAATTGTTCTTCATTGTTCTACAAAAAAGCCATCACTTTCCCCTTTTTTCTGAGAGACTGGCACCCAGAAGTCAGGATTTAATTTCCTTTAGCAAAGTAATTCTTAATCCAAAGTCATGATTTGTTTCTTGCCCATTTTTAACAAGTATTTAGAACTAGAAAAAGTTTTTAAAAAATGTTAAAAAACTGAAATAATGATAAAATGGATTAATCTCTTCCTTTTTGCTCCTGCCAAAATCATAGGGTGAGGAGGCTTTGCCTTCTATTTTTCATGCCCATGATATTTCTGGGCTGGAGTGTTCAAAAAGAAGTTCTTCAGAAAGATTAGAATCAATCAATTTTTTATGTTCAAAAAAATTTCATTTCTTATTTTACATATCAGATGGCAATACCCTTGATTTCAAGTCTAAAAAATTTTCGAAAATTAAAAATGAAGACGTATATTGCTTATTATTTAATTTAAACAATTTCATTAAATAAAAAAAAATAAGCATTTTTTTTTTTTTTTTTTTTTTTTTTTTTTTTTTTTTTTTTACTGTTTTATTGAAAAGTATGCAATCATTAAGGGGTTAACATGAAACAAAGCACAAAACTTTTCGTTGTGAGTTTAACATTAAGTGCAGTTTTAAGTGATTCTTACTATATGCATCACTATCACTTTGCAGGGTAATAAAATGATATATATGTAGCTGAAGTTGGCTGAGTATGCTACTGGAAATCACTTCTAAACAAGTGTGTAAAATGCTTCTAAGATGCAATGTTGTTATAAAAATTTATATGGCAGAGGGGAGAGGAGAAAAGGTGCATTTTAGAATTAAAAAAAAAAAAAAAAAAGTACGTGAGTTATCAAAATCAATATTAGAATTTGAGTTGTTGATATTTCCATCATAATACCAGAGTCTGCTTTACATTTTAATATTGTCTCTTCTGAAATTGTCAATATCATTATTATTCTGTAATGCAATGTCTTTCTGAGCCATCAAAATCTTTGGTGATGTGACATGTTAAAAAGAATATTGCACTGTTCTTTATGTATTAACATTACTTCAAGTTTTTGATACCCATTTGCATACCATTACTATTTTGATGTAGATTCCGCCCCCCCCCCCCAGTCAACAGGCAGAAAGATAAAAAGTAAAAGTAAAGTATTTAAAAATTTAAATAAGCTCATATGGAATGACCACAGGATTACTTCTTTTAAATTTAACATAAAGTGAAATTTTAACTGACTCACTTCTAATGTAATATTCAGTGATTCATTGATTGGAACATCATGTAGTAACTAGTCATGCTGCAAGAAATCATAAAAAGAATGAATCAGAACTGTGAAAGAGGTTTGTGTGAGGAAAAGATAAACCTCAGTTAAAGAAATACAGAAATTATCAAAACAACATGAATTTAAATTTTTGTACTTATTTGTTAATATGACTTGAGACAGATTAGAAAGATTTTATAAAATTTGTTGCTAAATTTTTTAAATGACAGAATTTCCCAGTGAACATTAAATATATATATATTTTAATTTTAGGGATTAGAATTATATTGTTCTAAAACCTCTCCTGTACAGCACTTGTTTTTGTCTTTTAAAACTCGAAGTGAATGTGATGCATTATGTACAAAGTTGGTGCATGAGCCTGGTAAAGTATTTTTAATGGTTATATCTTTCTTGCCATTTCTTAATATTTTTTCTTTAATATTAATTCAAAATTTTTCGTTTCATGATTAGCTGTAAAACTGGATGACACTGGACAAGAAAATATGACTCTATTATGGCAAAATGGTGTGATATCTAATTATGATTATCTTCTATATCTTAACAGGTCATACCCTCTAACCATATTTTCATATATATATATATATATATATATATATGTTATTTTTATTTTTAAGTACATAATGTAGCTTTTTGCTAAGATAATATATATCAAAATGTTCTTAATGTGTCTAAAATTGGTGTTCTTTGTTTGGTTTTTCAAATAAAATTGTTTTCTTAGTTAATCTGACACATTTTGTTTGAAATTTAACTTTTTGATTCTTTTAGCTTAGCAGACCGTAGTTTTAATGATCTCACTCAGTATCCAGTATTTCCTTGGGTTTTATCTGACTATGTATCAGAATCAATAGGTAAAGTGTAACTATTTATTTACATTTTGTATTTATTTAACTAAATGCTTGTAATGTGTGTTTATTTTACATAGTATAAGCATTCACTTTATATGTAATAACTATTAAGTTATTTTAAAAAGCATTAAATTTTGCATTTTTGCTAAATGTTTAATCATATATGCATGTAAGGTATGAAATATAAATGAAAATTATTAACTTTAATTTGGCAATAGTCTTTTTTTTTATTCCCATTTTAATTTAGCTATCTCACCTTTCTGTTCTAAATTGTTTATAATAAATTTTTTTCTATTGTGTCATTCTGAATTAATCCATTTCATATTTGCTTAAGTAATTCTGCAATGCAGATAGCTGTGATCCAATCAGATTAAAAAAACTTCTGTCTATAAATATCACTGCAACTAATTCACGGCTATTTTTCCTACTTTGGTTGCTGCTTGCATCGTTTGTTCGTTTCGATCATTGTTTAAACATGTGCTAAAGAATACAAAATTGTAGGGTGCATATTGCACCCATAATGTGTAAACAAGTCTGTGTACTATGAATTAATTATCAAGGAATAAAATTATGTGGCCACATCTGAGAGCTTTTCTTCTTCTTTAAGTTTATTAAATATATTGTAGTTCAGATAATTGACTTAATTTGCTGTGTTTTTAAAACTTAGCATTTAATGTGTGTAAACTAAATTCTGTTTCTGTGAATACTTATTGAGTGAAAATTATTTAATTTCCATGTTAAAAAAATTTTGTTCATATTAAAAACAGTATAAACTTTACAACTACATTACTGTTATTAATGTCTTATAGAACAGCACTTTATTCCAGTTTTTCTCATAAGCTGCATCATTCTTATATTTCAGATTTTGAAACAATATTTTTTCTCCTATAGATCTGAATGATCCTGCAATCTATAGGGACCTAAAGAAGCCAGTAGGAGCACTGAATGAAGAAAGACTAGAACGACTGAAGGTTAGATTTGCTCTAAAATTCATATATAATTAACTATGCTGTCATTATTTTTAAATGCATTTATGTTTTTTCTCTTATTATTGAAAGTATTACAGGAGTTTTAAACTATGCACAGTAATTTTGTTTTACTAGGATAGGTATAATGAAATGGCTGAACCAAAGTTTTTATATGGATCTCATTACTCCACGCCTGGCTTTGTATTATATTACCTTGTTCGAGAAAGTACGTTTGAATTTCACTCAAATTATCAATTATTTCATTATCAATGAAAAAAATTTTTTAACATATTTTTGTAAGTAAAAATGAAAGTATTGAATATGAACTTTTTCTCACCCACCCTTTCCCCCTCTTTTAGCTGATGTGAAAAAAAGTAAATGCAAAGTATCAAATAGTATTTTACATTATTATTTCAGTGTTCTAAAATTCGAAAACAGTTTCCAAAGCTAACAATATTTACACAGCAAAGTACATAGCTTGGAAGTATACAAAATAAATATAGTAAATCACTTTTATACATTTTTCAAGTTATTATGAAATGTGTTTCCAAGCAAGCATAATGTATAAATGCGAAAGATGTATAATCAAAATTGTAATATAAGATGTAATATATATATATATACCTTAACTATTAAGTTTAAATTTTATTACCATACAACTGCTGTTAAACAAATTTAATTTTATTATTTTTTGTTTAACCTGTATTTAAAAAAATAAAATATTGTAAATTCATATCTTATAAAACAGATAAAATTTAACATAAAAATGAAAGCAACCATACCTTCGTGTCAATTATTTATCATCTTAAAAAAATTTTGGAAAAGATTTTTAGCATGGATGAAGATCACATTTTTTAAAAGAAAAAATTTATTTCAGTTTTAATTTTTTTTGGAAAAAATGCCTTCTCTTGTCTTTTTGCATACCTTTTGTTTTGAGTAAAACAAACTCCTATGAACTGAATTAATTTCTTCAAAAGTTTTCTCATTACTATCTTGAAAAATAAAGAATTTTCTGATTGTTTCAATACAATGCATTGTATCCTGAAAAGGTAGCATTCTTTCTTCACTTTCTTCTTCATACTCACTATTTAAATGTTTGTTTGGAAATCTGGTTGCAATCAGTTAAAATGCACTTAATTTTGACATCATTAACTTGGCATAACAGTAAGGGCCAGCCTTATGTGTGACTTAAATTTTGTTGCCTGGTGCCTCCCCTAAATTCTATAAATTTTGCCATTTGTAATTTTATGGCTGAGTGCTTTTGTAAATTCTAAAATATGTTATGTTCTGCCTAGTACTGACACTGGCTCTGATAACAGTTTACATATTCCTCAGGTGTAATGTTTGCTTCCAGGAGAATCTAGTCCTCATCACCTAAAATCACATTACTTTCATTTTGAATGATATCTTCTGATTCTGGAATTTAAAAGCATCCTTTAATGAAATAATTTTTGCTTCTAATTTTATTTGAATACAAGCCAAATTCATAAGTGCATTCATTTTTCTCAGAGCATTTTCTATAATTGTTTTAAAGGGTAAATTGAATTAATCTTTGCATGTTGAACATTTTTCAAAGTTTTTTTATTAAGCTCAGGTCTAAAATTTACATTGCATATGCATACCAAGAGAAATTTTGTATGTTATCTTTTTGTCATTTTGTCTGTTTTTCTGAGCCATTTTGTTAGAATATCTGTATTTTTTGTATGCATTTCATGCCATGTTGGTAACATTTTAACCTTTCTAAGCATCATAATTAGAAATATCATAGTTTCTTTTTATTAATGCACAAAACAAAATAGTGAAGGGATCTTTATCTTGATTTCGGCCCACTAGCGGCCGAGCGGTAAAGTCGCTGAACACCGGTAGTTCGGTCCGAGGTTCGAATCCTGCAAACGGGCTGGCTGCATGGGTGTTTTCGTGGTTTACCCCATGTGTAACGTGTATACGAACCAGTTTCTCTTAGAAAGTCCTCTACGAAGGCATCCCTCCCCTTAGGCAGATAGCCTTCGAGGCTTTGCCGTAATTGAATAACCTAACCTAACCTTTATCTTGATTCCATTAGAGTGACTGCATTTAAAGGCTAAGGCTCTTGTAGGTATTAGATTGGAAAAGGAGACCATTTTTATATCAGTCTGTTTTATTGCATAATTTTTTAAACCATGTTCGACGGATTCTGTTGAGATATTCTTAGGTTCTCTGTAGAGTCATAGATAGGTTTTCAGCGCTCAGACACAGATGAAGATTTTGCACCCATCCTGTTTGCTAAGAATGGAAAATTTTTAATTCTAAAATTTTGTAACATCAGTTTCCCCTCTCGTGGATGCTGCGTCCAGGAACAAATATCCCCTCTAGCTACACCTCAGGTTCTCTGCTTATGACATGAATAAAATTTCATGGAATAGTTTAAAGTATGTATTCCCCTAATTAAAAAATAAGTGTGTATCCTTAACCTCTGAAAATGTATCACCTGACATATAACTTCACTAAAGTGGATTTTCTGCAGTCTCTTACTTTTTCTCTGTTAAAAACAATGATTTCCATTATTGGCACAGGAATACCAAGTTTTTTCCATCAATTCTATTTTGGTCTGTCATTTAAACCTTTAATGTTTAATTCTTTTAGATTTCAGTATCTTTGAAAAGTGCTTTTCATTCTCTAGATATTTTAGCAGATTAGTTTTAAATAAGAGTTGGTGGATAAATATCAGTCAACTTCAAATGTGTTAAATAATGCAGGAAAGAAATATCTCCCATCAGCAAATTTGTTTGGTCAACACTCCTATTTTCTATTCTGTCCCCTCCCCCCAAGCAACCCTCAGCTACTCCACCAACTGGATTTCCGTCTCTATTCTGAGATGTCTAACAACTCCCCTTATCCACAGAGGGTATGCATATACAAATTTTAAATGGTACTGAAAGAGAGAAATTCCTTTTGAAAAAATGGCCTGTGGTGTGAAATAAATGTGGAGGAGTAGTTCACTGTAAAAATAATATATGACCTACATAATGCAGCATTTCATTAAAATATTTTACTAGTAATATGACTAGGCATGCATTGGGACCAAATTGAAACAATATATATGTGTGAAAGATGCATAAATGGTCTTAAGTATGTGTATTTGCGTGATAAATTTTTAAAATGTTCTGATGTTATCTCATAAAATGTATTAATTTGCATTAAAACTTTCATATGCACAGGATATTTCTCAAGTAAATGCTAAGTAAATGCCACACACAAAATTAAGTGATGCAATAATTTTAAAAGTGCATATTAATTACTATCTGATTAGGTGTTTGTTGTTTTAGGGTTCTGTAAATGTCCTGTGTGTAATTTTTATGTTAATATTATCTTCTGTTACTTCCATATTTCTGCATATTTTCAAAATGCTCAGAGATCTGTTTGTAATATTGATCTGTTTGTAATATAATGTGAAATATTCTACAGTGAATATCAAAATTCCATAGAAATTTACTCGAGTTTATTTTGTATAGTGCCCCAATATATGTTGTGTTTACAAAATGGTCGTTTCGATCATCCAGATCGCATGTTCAACAGGTTAGTTATATTTTTGCTCTGTATTTTTAATTCATTAGTTACATTTTTGGTTCTGTGCTTTTTCTAATCTGCCTAAAACAGCTTCATTTTAGTTATTATTTATTTTTAATGCAGTGTTCCTGATACTTGGAGAAATATTACCACCAACACCTCAGATTTTAAAGAACTTGTTCCTCAATTTTATGATTTGGAGAGAAATGGATCTTTTCTTGTCAATTTAAAAGTGAGATGCTACTACATTTTAAAACTTGCATATAATTTTAAAAGTAAAATGAGAAACTTTCAAATGTTCATTTAAATTTTATTACGCATATTTTCATGTCAATTGGTAAAATGGTCAGTATGTCAAAAGTTAAATTTAAATCCATATTCTTAATTAAGTGTAATATGTATTAAGTGTAATATAATTATGTCATTTTAACTTCTTTTTGTCCAGTTTATTGCCATTTGACTTTTTTAGAATTTGGATTTTGGAACTAGAATGGATGGATCCAAAGTTGGTGATGTGGAACTGCCTCCCTGGGCTAAAGGTTAGTGTAGTTTAAATTTAGTAGAATAAAATATCTGTTCTTCAGAACTCTGTATAAATTTTAAGAAAGTTTTAAAAAATAAATTTTTCATTAATTCTAATTAATTAAAAATCTGATTTAATAATAATTAATGGTTTCAATGCACAAAATATTTTGCCAGGAAATATTGTAATATTCAAATTATCAAAAGTTATCAAAAAGAATAATTGTTACTGTAGGATGGCCATAAAAAAAAAAAAAAAAGCCAAAGTTAATGTAGTTTTTTTTTTTTTTTTTTCCAAGAAATTCTGTTACTTTTATATATGTGATTAAAGATTTTATTTAAATATTGCAGGAAATACTGTGTTTTTTAGTCATACGTAATTTTGCTTCATATTACATATATTTCCATGTTTCTGTATGAGACATCATTTTTTATTTATTGATTTATTTATTATGTTAGATCTTTTGTTTCCATAAAATTTACTTGCATAAGATGAAATTTATTATTCATTGCAATTGATGCTAAAAGCTACTTAAATAGGGATGGAACTCCTTCAGGTGGATATATTTAAAAGTATTTAATGTGTGTATGTGTGTGCATACGAAAAGGAAAAGATAACAAAAATATCAAACAAAAAAAAACATAACTGACTTTTTAAAATACTTGCAGTAAGATGAACTAATAATATAAATTTAAATTTGCGTATATAAGCATAAAAGGAAGTTTTCATTATAGTATAAGAGTTTGTTTCTTGTATGGAATTCATCTTCCAGTTCTGATAGTGCAATATTTAAATTGTGAAAACTAGCTCAAATAGATCATAAGATGTGAGCATCCCTCACATGCCTTAGTAACTGATTCTTCCCAAAGCTTCCAGAAGCTAATGCTACATCAGACCGAAGTTGTTAGTTTTTATTCAGTTGTGATATTTAATGTTAGCTGAATTGTGTTTTAAAGATTACTCTGTAAGTGATCTTGGCTATTGACGATATTTCACGTACATCAAAGAGGAATTGTTTACTGTCCATATTCTGCTGAAGCTATTTACTATTATTTATTGTGCTGTTTCTAGTTAATTTTTATTAAAAAAACTAATTTCTTTCTGTTTATCTGGAGTCATTATTTAAAAGTGATCAGTGAAGCAGTAGCCTGCAACAATATATTTGTATTATGCTTACATAAACAAACTTAAATCTAAATGTGTATTTGTGTGTGTATATATATATATATATATATGTATGTATGCTAAGATTCTGAAGTTAATCTTAAAATACTGATAAAATGAAATGCCAATTTATTGGAAAACATTTGAAGTAGTACTGTGTTGTTATAGAAGATGTTTGTCTTATTGATAAAATTTATCTCCATTTGTAAATTTCTAATTACAATGATTTTTTTATAAATTGGATTATATGTTGCATTTTTTTCACATTTTCAATTAACAGTGCTATTTCTTTCAATAAGATGATGTTAAATGTAGAGTCTTTTAAAATTGTAATCATACAAAATTTTTTGTATGATTATTAGATTATGGTCCTGAAATAATAAAATTGCATATACTGGGGAACAACATTTTCATTGTCTTAGATCTGTCACTTGTTTTTGACTAACTTTTGGCTTCTAAATCCAAGAATTATGTCAGTTTTTGTGTACCTCATCAACTTTTTAAGCTACAGGATACCCTCTCTTTTTCTGAAAAGTCATGCACAGTGTACATGTAAAGAAAAATAAAGAGAAAACAGACCAAATGTTCTGTTCACAAATAATAATTTTTTTTTTTTTTTTATAGAAAAGCTATATGTAGTTAATGCAAGTTAAATTTTGTTCATACAAATAGTGAAGTTTTTTTTAACAAACAATAAATATATATATTAAGGTAAAAATTTTCATATATTACTTTTTTTGGAGTGTTTAATCTGTGGATATTTTTGCTTAATCCTCCAATAATAGTCATCCATCATATGTGCATCCTATCTACCTTGGTACTGTGTCTCTGTGTCTTCAGATCTTGGTAGAATCATTTACCTTGCTCATTACTGACAGCACCAAGATGTTTTGTGAAATTATTAAAGATGACTATATAAAAAGTGCAGTTTGATGCTCATGTTGTGACCAAGCATTTTGAAGCTCTCCAAAAGTTGCTGGATACGTTTGCTATAATTTTATGCTAGTGTATTTCCAAGAAAGTTTTTGACAATGTTTTTGAATGCCAGCCAAACATTCTTTTGAAGCTCCGTCACTGTTATGGTAAAATTTTCATTTTAAAGGAGCTGCCAAAACTGTGGACCATCAAAACTTCTTCAACCTTTGTCTTTTCAAATGACAGGCTAGGAAATTTTGTAATGATATAGTACTTGAAACAGCCTCCTTCAACTGGCAAATGTTTTGGCAGATGAGTGGTATATCCATGTTGCTGATCAAGGAGAAAGCAAACCATTTTAAGGTCATTACATATAATCCATTAGTGCATGTAATATTGCAACAAATCAATGACTGTTTTGACTTAATAAATTTCTATTAAATGGGAAGACAGGCTTTAATTTTGAGCTATCGATGAACAGTCACCGAGTTGCATTATAGGCTGAAATTCCTAACTCTTCCATTAAACCATGTACATTATGACAATACACAGATACATCATCACTTCAAAAGTGTTGCAGAAACACACTTTCAATTGATTGAAAGTATGATACCGTAGCTCCTTTTTCAAGCAACTTTTTATGTGCAGTCTTGATGCTAACAGCTGTGAAGCTTTTTTGGATAGTTCCCAAATTTCATGCTAAATCATTTAACTCATTCTGGTCAAATCCCTTATGAACAGAATCAATTTCAAAATCTATGTGGTTGGGGTCATTTCAGTATTCACCAGAATCATACATCTGTGTTTCCAAAGAGGGTAATTCTTTGAAAGCTGGTGCTGAGTTAGGCACTCAACTGAGTTAGGCACTGGGCATATAGCCCTGATAGTAAACTAGGATACTCTATTTTACATTTTGTTTTTCTTTTTAAATCCGATGTTTTCACTGTACAAAAGTAACAACCACTTGAGTAATCTTTAGGTTATCGTGAAGTCATAGTTGTACCAAATGGAAATTTAGAACACTCCATTCATCCACATCCATAAACTGAACACACTGCTTGCACACTTTGTGAAGGGTTCATGATTTATCTTGATAATCAATTTTCACTTTAAAATAGGCAAAATAGGCTTGTCTGACAAATGTACTGATTTTTGCCCTTTAACTACGAATGATAAAACTACTACATGTATAATAAAAAAAATTGGGTCTGTTTAAGCACTTACAACATAAACTAGCAAAAGCAGACATAAGGAAAGGTTTCAGTTCATATATAAATAAAAACTGTTTCTACCTTGTGTGTAAACAAGAACTTGGATTCCATGTCAGAATCACTTCGCTATATCAGAGCAACACACATCTCAATGCTCTATCTCAGGTGTAACTGAACTAGTCTAGACAAGAATGCACCTTTTGCTGGTTTCCTATGCTGTCATTCACTTGGTGTCATCCAAAGGGTTTATGTCAGCCAGTAGAAGAGAAGTAGTACTTCCTATGATCTGCACTCAATGCCACAGAGAGCACTTACATTCACATAAGGTGTAAAGAAAAAAAAAAAGAAAAAAAAATGATGTAGTGGAAGAAAACTAACTACAGTTTTGAAATCAGCCTGCTTATTAAACTCTAAAAAACCTCAAAAATCGAACTGAACGGAAATTGTGTTACCAATTGCTCAGTGTTATTAATGTATTTTTTTATATTTGAAAACTTATAAATTACCTTAAAATTAGTATGAAAATACTTAATTCGCAATTATCAAATAATTGCGAATTAAAAATTTTATACAACAGTAAATCAAAAGAAATACCACTGAGTGCCATTAATTTTCCAAATTTCTTTTAGCCAGCTCCTCAAGAAGAACAATAATTTTGGATTTAAGACAATGAAAAATTTAAAAAAATCCCGAGCTTTAAAAAAATATCGTAATCAATTTTTGTACTTTATTTTATAGAATGAGTATAATCTTTTACTAAATATAACAGTTTAAACCAGAAGACCATATAAAAAAGTTAGATTTTGTAATTTAAAAAAAAAATGATTTTTTAATTTCAAATTGCCATCATATCTGTGTCATTTAAAATATTTCTATAATTAGAAGTACATATCTACAACCTCTTGCAAAATAATGGTAGCACAAGAATTTTAATAAACACAGTGTATAAAATAAACTTAATAGCAGAAACTTAATATCCATGAAAACTATATTATCCATGAAACACTATTTAAATTTTATTTCAGAACTTTAAAAATCATTTTTTTATATGATAACCATGTGAAGTTCTACTCTGTATGGAAATGTATTATCTTTGTCATATTTAAAATTTTATGTAGCATATAATACATTTTAAATTCACTTGCATTAAAAATTAATGTTCCTGTTGATTTAGTAGATAAAACTACTCAGCATCAGTATTCATTCTGAGTAAAATTATTGTTATATGAGTTATGCTGTTTAACTGTACTAACTGTTTGCACGGCCAGTACCTACAATACTTATCATAAAAAGGGATGAAAATATTTTATATTTATAATTAGGCATCTAATTATTTTAATGCATTTTATTTAAATAAGTCAGTTTAAAAAAGTAGAAATGTGTTTTTAAGAACTGTGTGTATTGCCTTTAAATCTCTTTGCTTGCTATATTATAGCAGAGAGATTAAATTTGAAAGTTCATCTTACACTTTACTGAATGCTTATATGAAGATAAGACTATTGTATGTTAGGCAATGACAGCACATTGCTTTTAACTAGCAAAGTTTGTTAATTAATATTGAAAAACTAATATCTTAAGTTTTGCTGAGTGAGTTTTTGTTAATCAAAAATTCATTAAATCTATACAAAATATAAAATAAATCTAAAATTCAAAATTCTGCTTTTGAGGTGCACATGTTCAGTTATAAGAGTATGTATGTTTAAAATTTTGTAGCTCAATTTGTTGT